TCGTCTTGCCTGCTACAGGCACCTGGCTGCCGAGCTCTCCCGCTCGCCCTGCCTGTCCTCCTGCCCACCTTCTCTTTCCGCCTGCCTGACCCCTGGCAGTTCCCCGACCGCCCTTGCCTGGACCCCTGCGTACCCTGCCTGTCCTCCTGCCTGTCGTCTTGCCTGCTACAGGCACCTGGCTGCCGAGCTCACCCGCTTGCCCTCCGCCTCATCCGCTCTCCCCTCTGCCCCGCACCATCCCGCCCTGACCCTGCCGGTGCCTTCCCGTCCTCCGTGCTTGTGTCCCCGTGCCCGGGATTCTCCCCGGGTTGTGCCCTGCAACTCTCCTCGCTTGTCCCTCCATCCCTCCGCAGCCTCCGTGCCCCCGGCTCTCCTCCGGCAGTCCTTCCAGCTGCACAGGGGCTTGTCTCGGTCCCTGCGTGTCCCACTGTCCCTCCTCCACCTGTCCCACTCCATCTCTTGCATCCCTTGCCTCCTCTATCTGCCCTGCACGTTCATCTGCTTCACTGCCTGCATCTGTCTATTAAGGCTTGCATTTGCCGTCTCCCCTTTCTATTTATTTCTCATTTATTTAGCTTTTATTTGCAGTGTTGGCCTTGTCTGTTTGTCCACTGCGTGCAGGGTCCTACCAAGCGTATCTGTCTTCTCTCTGTCCGTCAGTCCATTTACTAACAGTGCCCTCCATCCCCTTGGTACCAGCCATCTCAATCCTGTCCAGCCATTGCAGTTATGTGTCACTGAATCCCTTCAGCATAGCTTTCCAGCAGTTTAACCACTGTCCCTGTGAACTTTGCACATCTGGCTGTAACACCATCACTCTGCAAATTACCTCTCTTCTATTTATCTGCCCATCTCTCCTTTCCTTCATCGCTCTGTCGCTCAGTTCATTTTTCTCTCTTTCTATCTTTCTGTGGCATCTATGTATCATTTGTCCACAAAATAAATCTCTTTCTATCCTGTATGCTGCCCACTCATCTTCTTTATCTACCCTCCCACTTACCAAAAGCATATACATTTACAGTATCTATGGGATCTGTTGCATTATACATATGCTTGTTATATTCACATACAAAATTTATGAGCGCACACAATCTCACACAACACAAGTGATGTGGATCGGTGCAGCAACACCGTACTGTTCTTTTTCTGTCACTGCCACCACAGTTTATGAAGAAGTTGTGTATTTACTAACACGCGAAAGGCTTTCTTAGCGTACATTTAGGGGGTTATTATTTTTTAATAGGCTGTTGTTGGGAGATCTGGGGTGGGCTTGTACTTCCATTTGGTATTCAGTCAATCGCTGTCTTTTGTAACACTTCCGAAATTGACTTTATGTAAAACGTAGACAAACACAGTGAAAATTTTTGTCACTGAACTATTACAAGGTACTGAATGGGCTCTGGAGACACATTTGAAAGGCATCTAGGGTAACAAATGAAGACAGCGACTACGCAAAAAATCCCATTCAGAGATTGACAAAAATGCTACAGATTCTTGGGAAAAGAAAAGGAAGAAAAATCTACATTTAGCTCTGTACAGAAGGAAGCAAAACAGATAAGGGCAGATGAGAAAATGCCTTTCCAGCAATAATTTTAAATAGCGATTGGGATGCTTTGATTCAGGGACCAGAATTACAGTCTCCGCCATAAAGGCCAGCTTGCACATTTATCACCTACGCCAAATTTAGTTAGGACTTGTAGTACAAAATTGCAGGAGGGCCACTGGTATTTCTGAAACATTTCATGCAGCAGGCTCTTCTGTTTACAAATAAGGGGTTATGTCAGACATTTGGTGACATTTGGTTTTCTGTGACAATTTCTCTCCTTTAATTCTGGTGTTACTGAAAAGCGAATTGAGAACAGCCAATAACAGCGTTACAGCGGGAACAACCGCTTCATTGCCTCTCTTCGTATGGGAGTTTATAATTTCGGGGAGAAAAGGCAGAGATTGAAATGATTAATAATAGCAGATATTCTACCAGACTTTAGTGGGGGTTAGCTTGATATGTTGGACAAGCCGGCACATTGCTGAAATATTTTCCCTTCTGTCTCGTGAATCCTTTCCTTTAAAACCACAGCGAGAATATGTGCAAATCGAAACAAAATCCCTGGTTTGGCATTGGTGTTTCAGTGATTATTGAAAGAGCTCTCCCCGTGAGAATTGGCAGGTAGCTGAAAGTTAAAACTATTCTCAAACTGACAAGATAGCAGAGTCCTAGTGCTGGTCTTTTGCAAGGTGCTGGTGTAGCATCTTTAAAGCTGGCTGGCTGGGAAAAAAAACATATTCTGGAGAGCTTTGAGAGATCTGACACATCCGACTACAGCCCGATGCTGAACATTGCTGTGGGAAGTCCCCTTTTCAATTAATTTTGACTGCAAATTTGGGCTATTTGATGCAGTGCATGCCTTCTGGCTGGCACAGCCCCATTGCCATTCTCTTGATCTGCTGTGCTCCAGTGTTGTCCCTGAATCCAGAAAGGCACACAAGCTAATGTTTCCTTTTTGACTTAATCTTGCTGATCTCTCCTTATCTTGCAGACGATCTGGCCTCATCTAGAGTCCGCCTCTATTTCTTCATCTCGAATGAAGGGAACCAGAACTTGTTTGTCGTTCAAGCCAGCCTGTGGCTTTACTTGAAGCTGCTTCCATATGTCTTAGAGAAAGGCAGCAGGCGAAAAGTAAGAGTCAAAGTCTATTTCCAAGACCCGGACACTAGCAACAAGTGGAATGTGGTTGAAAAGAAAGTTGATCTCAAAAGAAGTGGTTGGCACACTTTTCCCATGACAGAGGCGATCCAGGCTCTGTTTGAGAGAGGAGAAAGGAGACTGAACTTGGATGTTCAATGTGAGGGCTGTGAAGAGTATTCAGTGCTGCCAATTTATGTGGACCCCGGGGAGGAATCCCACCGGCCTTTTTTAGTGGTGCAAGCCCGTCTCGCCGATAACAAACACAGGATCCGGAAAAGAGGCCTGGAGTGCGATGGCAGGACCAATCTATGTTGCAGGCAACAGTTTTACATTGACTTTAGACTCATTGGGTGGAATGACTGGATCATAGCACCATCAGGTTACTATGGGAATTACTGTGAAGGGAGCTGCCCGGCCTACTTGGCTGGTGTCCCGGGGTCGGCTTCCTCCTTTCACACCGCTGTCGTGAATCAGTACCGAATGCGGGGGCTGAACCCGGGCACCGTGAACTCCTGTTGCATTCCAACCAAACTTAGCACAATGTCAATGCTGTACTTTGATGATGAATACAACATTGTGAAAAGGGACGTTCCCAATATGATTGTGGAAGAATGTGGTTGTGCTTGATTTAAGGTGTGTTTTTGGGGGGGGAGAGAGAGAGAGAGGGGAGAGAGAGAGAGAAACATTCCCGTACAAGATGGTGTTGGAGGAAGTTTCACTGTGTATCCAGGCATCAGTGTTGGAAAGTCACTGTGGAAAAGTTTGACAAAAAAAAAAAAAAAAGAAAAAAATAATCATTTCACTTTGGTGTCAGGACAGTGGCAGTTTGTGGATCATGGACACTTATATATTCTACCACTTATAAGTTAATGCTATGAAATATCTTAAAGACACACACACACATGAAATGTGGGCACGCACACAAAACACGCGCTCATACACACAGACACACACACAGACACACACACAGACACACACACACAGACACACACACACACACACACACACACAAGGCAGCTCAGAAAAGGGACATGAGCACAGAAAGTCAGTGACCAGTGACGACGGACCTAAATGCCTGCCAGTACGAGTGAACGGCTGAGCAGCTGTTTCCCCGCCTGCTGGCGAAGCCAGACCGAAATGAGCTCCCTTTGCTCAGGCAAAAGCACGGACTGTGAGAACACAATGTATTCTTGCACGCAGGTGTCGAAATGACCAAACTTAGAAAATTAAAAAAAAAAAAAAAAAAAAAAAAAAGAAAAAAAAGGAAAAAGTTGACTGTCACCTCTTAGGTCTAACAGGAAGCTGCAGGACACCTGCCTTGGGAGGCGATCACTTCCTCTTAAATTTATCTAAACATAAACATCACAGATACCCGCATCTTCCTTCAGCACTTCCAGCAAGGAATTGTGTGGTTCCATCGGAGAGAGAAAAGGAGACAGACACGTAAGCAACTGCTGTATTTCTAACACCTGGCCGTTGCAAAGTCACAAGCTGGGCTGGCGTGATCCGATGCTTTCACTGCCCACTAGCAACCAGTGGCTGGCTACACCTGCAGTGTCTTGGAAAAGGGAATCAGTACCGTATCTGGACTATGTTGACTGTTGGCATCTCTCACTGTTTGAAGAACAAAAAGTCGAAGTTGCAATCTGTGTTCTTCAATGGGGGACTTGGCAAGGCTACGTCACATGGGGGACGAGCAAACAAGCAATCGCCACCACGGTTAAACCAATGAACCCTAAAGAGGAGTGACAGCGACAGAGTGGAGACGTTCAGAGAAATGCAGTGCATTTAATAACAGGCGAGGAACATTTTTACAAGTCTTAGAAAGGAGGAGAGAGGAGAGTGCTTTCAATTTCCTTACCAGGAGGTGTCAAGGATGGCCATAAAGATCAGAAAATAATGATACAGCATAGCACTTGCAAACTGCTTGAATGCACGTATAATAGCACTTGCAAATTTCAATGCCTTGAAAAGTGGTACTTGATAGTGCACTTATCTTTGCTCACTATCTAGGTAAACAGGTGCCGCATGAGCTATGCAATTTAAAGTGTTGACCCATACTAGACAAAACTGGACTTATGATATGACTTTTTTATATTTTTTTATACTTGAAATTAAATCTTTTGCTTCTTTTTTAAAGCGAATGATTGCTTTTAATGTTTGCACTGATTTAGTTGCATGATTAGTCAAAAAACTGCCATTTGAAAAAAAATGTTATTTTTATAGCAGCAAAAAATGAATACAGTTAAATGTATTATACATAAATTTTGGAACCAAAGAGGCCAACATATTAGTTATAATTTTTATGAGATGGCAAAGCCATCATATATCATGTAGTCATACTGAGCAATCCCTCACGAGGCCTACCAATTGTTTCAGGGTACAAAATGGATTCTGTTTGTTCTATTCAGTGTCTTTTCTATACCATACGCACATGGAATGTAGAGTGAAAAAAAAAAGTGACTATTGTAGAATACATTACAATATGTGCATCCTTTAAATCCAATTTTTATGTTTATTTAATAAAGTTCCTTTTAGGTTCTGTTCCATAATAATTTAAACCAAACAATTTTCACTTAGATTTGCTGTTGAAGTATTTTACATTTGTGTACAGTTTAAATAAATAAAAAAGGTTGAAAACTGGATATGCTTTTTTTTTTCCTTTTTTTTTTTTTTTTTCAGTGTGTAACATCTGGAGGAACTTGCTTACTTTCAGCACTGACTAGGCTGCAGACGGTGAACTGTCGCATTAGACCGTAGTCGTATTAGTCATTGCAGAAAGCCTTGTCTGAGAGCTCAGCTGCGATCCTAAAAATGTTATACTCCAGTTTTATTGCTGTCTATACATGTAAGCATCTGCATCTTTCTATCTGCAGCAGCGCAGGGGCTCTGGGCGCAGGAACGGCACTGTTCCGCATACCTGCAGGTCATTTACTGCAAGTTCCTGGTTCACCTGCTGTGTAAGAATGTAACTTCTTCTCTGGGTCATTCCCTGACTGCTTAGAAGAAGTAAAAAAAATAATGTGGAAAGCACTTCCAGGAATAAAAGCTCGGTGCTAAGTTTGATTACCTTTTTTTTTTTTTTTCAAATTAGCTGGCCTCAAGGAGAGGTTGGTTTGTTGTTTTTTGTGTTTGTTTTTTTTTTATAGTATAATATATCCCTTTTGCTAACAAACCCCAAAAACATTGACAAATACTCATAGAAATTCTTGTCAGCTGCACATATATCCAGATATTGATTTAATTGATCTTCACAGATAAATTCTTCCTCCTGGAGACCTGAGCAAATGCCAGCTGAAGCTGACAGAAGGACTTCTGTTGACTTAGCAAATCTTAGCTCTGACCCTGAGACTCGAAAAGTGTTGAAGAAGCAAGATCATGCAACTAATGATGGGTTCTAGTTACGATTCACATTCAGGTGTAGCTCTGCCCAGCTCTCCCCAGAGCCAGGCACTGGGGTTAAACAGGAGACCTGGAAGAGCAATTTGCTGTGACTGTGTCAACAATCTGCTTCTCAGAACTTTGTCCTCCAGATCAAATTTTTTGAATATTTCATAGCTTTCTCACCACCTTGAGCTGCACATTGTCAAAGCCACGACTCACTGTTCCTGCTCTGTCTCTTAGCAGCCTTCTTTCTCCCTGGTCTTTGTTTTTTGAGTCGACCATGCTACTGATGAGTACAATGAATTCCCCTTGAAATCAGTGTAAATACCCATCCTTTCAGTCTGAAGGCATGTTTGACCTAATATGACACCATCATTATGAATAAGACTGGGCTGCACTTTAAAAAATGGCATATATTAAGAAATCTTGCCCATTGAAATGCAAGGCCCTGGAGGCTGTGTCTGGTTAGGTTTCGTTCTTAATTGAAAGTGTTTGGTTTCTGGGGTCAAAGCCAAGCCCTTCTTTGGACACTGGGACTCCTGTGCTCTTCCAGGAGGAGAGGAGGGTGTCTCGGCGTGGGATTTGGACCTGCAGGGAACAGGAACTGCTGGCAGCCAGGATGCTTTGAGCTTGGGCAGGCCAGGAATGAGGGACAGGAATGGGCTGTGCTCTGCATCCCACTGCAAGCCCACAAGCAAGCTCAGGATCCTAAACTCTTTCATGGAGGCTGTCAGAAAGCACTCATTTCTTGGTAAAAGTCTTTCACAGCTTTTTTCCCCTGCCCCTGCCTTCTCTGCTCCCACATTTGTAGCCACAGTCATGATGTTTATGGGGCAGAAACAGAAACACAAGAGCATTGGATATCAGTATGGTGTGAAGGGCATCATCTGGGAGTGGGAACAGCTGGATCATAGTCCAGGTTGCCAGGTCCTTCTGTTTGGTGTGAGTCTCTAGAAATCAATCTGAACATGCATGGATGTTTCTGCAGTGTGGAGTCACTCACTGCTCTGGGCATTCTGCAGTCAGTGAGGTGTTCTCGAGTCCTGGTGCTGACAGTAACCTGTCACACAGATTTCTAAGGCTAAAATGAAATAAAACACCTTTAATTTTGTGGGACCAATCTAAGACAGTTTGGGCTTGATTTTTCAGAGATCTAACAAAGCTACTGCTCTTGCCAGCTTTTTACAGGGGGGGTGCAGGAATCCCTCTTTTTGCATCTTCCACCTCCTGCATTTTTGAAATTAGGCAAAATGAAAAATGAGATGCCCAAACTTGATGGCTGCTTTTCAAATATTTTGGGTTTTATTTTCCCATCTGTCATTCCCATCCCTATAAAACTCAGCATCCGGTTTCACTGCCTTATGCCAGGTTAGGTACTGTACCTCAAAAACCAGCTGGCTCAGGTCCATATCCCACCCCCCCAAAGGAGACTAGATGACTCTCTCTCGTCTCTGAGAGGCTTTGAACTTGGTTCTGTAAATGCTAAATCAGTGCCTTTTATCATGTGACAGAATCAATCTCTAGAGCTGGAAATTCTTCATCCTTTAAAATATTCTAACATAGGCAAAACCCCAGTCCCAGTGCCTGGACCTCCCACTGGTGTTAATGAGGATGGTGTGAACGGGGTGACTGTCACAATGTGGTGCGACAGAGCACTTGTTGGATTAACTCTGCATACATCACTTATTCCCACACATAATAGACACCTGCTCCAAAATTGCCAGCTCTCACCTTCTTTGCTTTGTTACTTGCGAGAGATGAAGTCAGCAGCTGAAATGAATTGCTGCACTCGCCCTGCCATGGGAGAAGAGGGAAACCCCTCACTGAATGAATTGTTCATAAGGATAATTTTTGTATGAAGTGGTTTCTACTGTGAAGAGTAGAAGAACATTTTGCAAAATGGATCAGAAATACAAATTTCTCCCTAAGAGGAGAGTTTGTTTCAGTTAATGCTGATGTCAGTCTGCAGTAGCTCTCCTAAAGTCTGCAGATGTAATTCAGGCTAGCACCAATATAACTAAAGACACACCTGAATCTGGTTTTCTGGAATTACTGACTGGGTCCAGCTCACTCTCAATTCTCAGTATTTCTAAATTTTTTTTTTTTCCTTTAGAATCAGCAGCTAAAAGATCTAGCAAAACCCACATATGCCGGATGACAGATCAGAACAAGAGTAAAAAATACTTTTTATAAAGGTATACACTGGATACATTGGAATTTGGCCAGGAATTAGCAATCGCCATCAGTACAAAATAACCCAGTAGTTTTCATTTGCTTGCCCAGTCAGTACCCGTGAACCAAAAGCTAGATTTCCATGCCTGCTTGTAACAGTAGGGGCCAATTTTATTTGGGTAACTTCATTGATTTCAGGGGAATTATTTCTGATTTGTACTAGAATAAGTGGGAGCAGATTTAGGTTCTTTAATGTTCTTCCAGTTTAGCTCTTGGAATAACTTATATTTCATTATTATGTGTTTATGTAATTAGTGCAATTATATCAAATTATATAATTGGTACAATTACTTGGACTCATGTAACCACTGCATATAGCATTCCCTGCTGTAAAATCTTTTACTCTAAAAAAAAAAAAAAAAGCAGTCAATATTACATGGGAATCTTAATTTGTTTTTAAATTCCAGTATCAAATTTAGGGCCCGACCACATGCAAGGAACTTCTGGTTCACATCAGTGGAACCTCTCTAAGCAGGCAGCTTGCAGCCTTCATCATAGATACTGGGTTTTTAATCTGATTTGGCCAATTCAATTCAACAGAGGCCCTCCTGGAATGTGTGCAGCTCTAACCAGTCTTCCTTGTACAGAGCAAAGATGTCAAGTTTTTATACACACACCTGAGAGATCTCTGAAGCCATCAGAGGCCTGAGATATGCATTGTTGTGAAAGCTTGGAAATAGAGGGTTTCTGCTGAATCTGTTGTGGGCAAAGTGAGGGAGGTGATTCTGCTCCCATACTCCACTCTCATGAGACACCACCTGGAGTTCTGTGTCCGGCTCTGGGGCCCTCAGTTGAAGAAGGATGTGGACCTGTTGGAGAGAGTCCAGAGAAGGACCATGAAAATGATCAAGAGGGCTGGAGAATCTCTTCTATGAAGACAGGCTGAGAGAGTTGGGGCTGTTCAGGCCGGAGAAGAGAAGGCTTATGGTATTTAAAAGGGCCTACAAGAGAGCTGGAGAGGGACTTTTTACAAGGGCATGTAGTGATAGCCAAGGAGTGATGGCTTTAAACTGAAGGAGGGGAGGTTTAGACTACCTATATATAAGGCAGAAATTCTTTACTGTAAAAGTGGTGAGGTGCTGGAACAGATTGCCCAGAGAAGCTGCGGATGCCCCACCCCTGGAAGTGTTCAAGACTAGGTTGGATGGGGCTTTGAGCAGCCTGGTCTACAGGAAGATATCCCTACCCATGTCAGGGGGGTTGGAACTAAATGATCTTTAAAGTCCCTTCCAACCGAAACCATTCTATAAATCTATGAAAGTCAAAGTAAGCACATCCAGCAAAACAGAAAGAAAGGGCAAGAAAGAAACTCAAGAGATGTATTGATTTCCCATCAAGAAATCAAGAGAACCAGGATGAGGGCTCTGGCTGCTAACCACCTGACAGAACTCCCCTCATGGAAGGATCAGCTCTCCCAGGTGCAGAGTGTTTGGAGTTCTGCCCTGGCCCAAATGCAATCATTGAACCCAGCTGCACAGTGCACAGACCCAAGTGATGCACTGCTCTGCCTAACCACTGCTCCTCAGAGCCCGGCTGCTGCTGCTCCTTCTCCTTTTGTACCTGATTTTGGAGAGGGTTCACCTCTCGGTGTGCTCTCCTGCAGTCTGGCCTTTAAATCAGGCTGGGAGAGGCAGCTGCAGCCTACTACAGCACAGCCATTTTAGGGCTGCAGCTCGTGCTGCCTCACTGCCTTCCTCCAGCTGGTAAGTGTGCTCAGTGCCTGTTATTTTTATCTTGAGCTTTTGCTTTGTTTTTGAGGATAATTACACATTATTGCTGCAATATGTTATAATAAGTGCTATGAAGATGACTATTGTATCCAAGGGGAAAGAAGATGTGGCTGGGAAGCAAACTTAAACCTATGTGTCAGCAAAACAAACATGCTGTGTTTGGGCTGTGTCAGTCAAGTGGTACCAAAGTGGCATTTAGGCTTTGCCCAAGCGGAGGCTGCTGGACTGAGCTCGTCCCTCTTCACTTTGTTGGATGGAGCAGCTTGTGCCCATTCCCGCAGAAGAGCGTATGAGAAG